ACCTCCGTCCTTACCTACACAATCAGCAGAGCCTTCCACATAACCTTTTAAGGCAAACGCTCCCTGACTCTGGGGCAGCTGAGCGGTCAGCACCCTATGCCCATGTTCGTTCCCCCCTGAACTGATGCACAGGCACTCAGAGAGGCAGCCTTTGTTCAAACACACCATTTATTGACAACTTTGTACAAAGTAAAGCGCCCATCAAAGAATGGATGCTCTCAAAGAGGCGCAAGCAGTCTAGGGGACAGAAACACAGCTCTGTTCATAAAGACCTTATTCACCATCCGTGGAAGAGCAGTCTGACGAGCTCATCTTGAATTTCGTTGAACTCACATACTGCCCTGGCGTGGGCAGCCTGGTCCTCCACCAGGTGCTGGAGGAGGTTGATCGGCTCTGCTGTTTGGAAGTCTGGGGGTAAGATGATGTCCTCAGGAATGTTCTCATTGCCAAAGAAGAAGTGGTCGAGGCGTTTGTCCTCCAGGCAGCTGTGCAGGTACTGCAGGATATCCTCCAGCCGCATCAGGAATTCTGTCCTGCTCCAGTTTGCCAGGGGTATGGTGTTCAGGAGGTGCATGGCAACTGTCTTCAAGATATAGCTGGAAATGCCTGTGTCCACCAAGATACCGGCATAGAGCTGCAGGCATTTGAGGTGGAAGGTGTCGTGTGGAGCCTGTGTGGCGATATGCCTGAAGAATTTCACCTCTGCCACAGCATAGCTCTCTGCCCACATTGTGCTTGGGATGGTGTCCTCTGTAGTGTGGCTGCTCAGGAAGATGTCCGAGTCACCTTGCTGCACCCCAAACACCATCTCAATGAAAAGGTTTCTCCCAGAATCATTGGTCAGTTGGAGCTTGCAGGAGCGACTGGAGGGCAACAACTTCATACTGTAGAGACGAGACGGAGGCTCCTCCCGCCAGGCTGACCTCACCAGGTTCTGGAACCACTGGGCAGTTTTCACTGCATCTAAGTATGAGCCTGTGCAGAGGGTGCCTAGGAGGCTGGCAGCCGGGTTTCTCCTCAGCTCCTCCTGGGGGTGGTGGAGGAAGCACAGCCTGTTCTCCACCAGCTGGTCCCTCATGCACGTACATTCCAGTTCCACACGGATGCGGGAGTTCTTTTCTGGTGTCTGCCTCGCAGTGCCCAGCTCCAGGTGGAAGGTGTGCCCGTGGGGAGGCTTCAGGGGCACAAGCAGGCGGTAGACAGCATCATACTCACGGGGACTCCAACCTTCAAATGTGCTGCCCACCCCGATAGCTGGGTGCAGGACTGGAAAGAAACTTGTTGCCAAGTTCTCTTGGAGGACAGCGAGGAGGTCATCCACCAGGTCCTCGACCACTTGGCTCTTGTGGGACAGGCTCTGCACTGACCACAGCAAGTGATTTCCAAAAATCCTGAACAGATCCCTCTCTTCATCAGAATCTTCTTCTTCACTTTCCTCCTCCTTGAGCTCTGTATTTCTGGTAGAGCTCTCCTCCTCACTGCCGCTTTTTGGCTGATGGCTGCTTTTCCAGAGCCACCAGCAGAGTCCAAAGAGCAGGACCAGGACTGCAGCAACCGCCCACAACTGCCACTGCTGCAAGGTAGCGAAGAGCAGGTCTCCCCAGGCAGAGGAGCTCTGCTCCAGCTCCCGCAGCAGCCGAGCCATCTCCCGGCTCAGGTGCTCCTCACGCTGCTGCATGCGCTCGCGCGTGGCCTCATCCAGCTCATAGCCCACCTTCTGTGGGAGCTGGAT